TTGGAAGTTACCTCTTCCAGTCTGGACCTTCGAACTTTCACATCCCTTGTGGTAAGACTTAGATTGGTGTTACTACAGAGAGGTATTGGGAACCCCTGAGTGAAGCCAAATTGTCTAGCAAATTGTGCAGGACAATAGGGCTCAGCAATGCATTTGTAAGCTCTTGGGTTCATAGTCCCAATGAATAATTCTCTGGGGATTAAAATGCAGGCCCAGATATCTTTGTGAGCAGGTGAAGCACAGAGCCTATCACTTAGGAAATTCTTCAACCAAAGTGGGCCAATAGTAGTGGGTTCGAAGGGACGAAAGCAGTAGAAAAGAGGAGAAGCTGAAAGTTGGTGGAAGAAAGAGAAGTAAAAAGCAAAAGTAGAAGGATAAAGAGAAGCATTGGCTACCCTCATGCCATGAGTAGGAGGGTCTGGTTCAAAAAATTTAAAGCATTTGGATTGTAACTCAGGGAAATAAGCAAAAAGCCAAAGCTGAAGAATGCAAATCGGCCCCCCTTGATTGACATCTAAGGGTTTCTCACAGAAAAGAGAGCAGGCTCTATATACGTGACCTAGAACGTATAGAGCTAAAGCCACCCTCTTCTGTAAAACAAGGGCTTTGGCAAGAGGGGCAAATTCAGGCATAATTCTTTGAGAGGAGGTGCAGAAAAGGAACTTACAAAGCCAATATAATAAGAAAGAGAAGAATTCCCTATCGGTCACAAGACCTTCCCTTCTATTCTCAGCCTTGACAAAATCACTACAGGATGAGTTAAGAGAGGGGAGGGAAAAAGGGACTGTTAGGTCAGGATAATCTGGTCCAATGGGAGTTTCAATAGGAGATAATCCTAAAAGATGGCAAATGTCAAGAACAGTAGGGGCCATCATCCCACATCTGAATTGGAAGAAATTAAAAACATAATTCCAAAAGCACAGAGCAGCAGGAACTAAAAAGGGGTCCTCTGAAATGGTTAACCTGGATAATCGGAGGGCGTCGAGGAGGCAGAGTTATTGAAGGTCCAGGGTCCTACTAGGGACAACTCGATCATACCATTCTTGCCACTCAGGTCTCACCGTGGGCCAGCATCTGTGGGGGCGGTTCGTCTTCCAGTTCCTCCAGTCAAGGCCACCTTCGTAAAGGAGCCAATGGTCTTCCAGACGAGGGTATAGAGCTGGAAGCTCAATAGGAATCTCCTTGAATATGGGGCCAAGCACATAGTCTTGTTGCACATGACGACGAGGAATGAAGATGCGTCCGTCAATGGCACTTTTCTCCCCAACTTTGTACTTTTCACATTCTGTATCAATGAGCCTTTTCAGGGCTACAGATGGGCTCACAGGCTCTTCAACTGGCACTTTCAATGAGGAGGAAGCCATTGATAGAATGCTTTCTCAAAGGACGAAGCTGGGAAAGGGAGTAGAAAGAAGTGGGAGACGAATAGAGGTAAAGGGTTTGTATGTTGAGCGAGCAAGTGATTTCAGAATGTGGAATAAAAGGATTTCAAAAGCCTTATATCTGAAAGATACATCGCATAAATTCGTTAAGTATTAAAAGTACGAATACGAGGAATTTCCTTCAGTATTGATACTCTTGGAGGGAAAAAACATATCCCAGATGTTGATACCAGCTTCGAAGTAGAATGTTTGGCTTCGAAGCCAGATTTTGGTGCCAAAAGTCAAATAACAACGGCTTCGAAACTAAGAAGCCAGCTTCGAAGCACATTCCGTACTCAATGGATGCAAGAATGCTCAAGTATTCGTTTACTTCAAAGGGACTAAAGACCTGTTTTAGGTTTCTCAATGAAAGTGATGTTCTTCGAAGTAAAACTAGGAATCCCTTAGGACTGGAAATTGGCATTCGAAACATCGAAACCAACAGTTGGTTTATATATAGTCAGAAAAGTTGTTTTTTTGAACAAAAACAGTGCAGCCCTCAAAAGGAGCTTCCATATTTTTGAAAATATGGACTGTTGTTCAAAACGAAAAGATCAATTTAGAACTGATTAATCTGCATTCCCTAAATTGGAAAAGACATACTACAAAGATCCTAACTATGAGATTGATGCAGCAGAGATTGTGGGGAAAGAGCCTAGGAGGGAAGCCTAACTGCAAGTGATGGCATAGTGGAACTACTTATAAGACAGCATGATCAACGATCACGGAGAAGCAGTTCGATGGTTTGAAGTGCAGTTTGATGGTCATCTTTGAGGAGTATAAATAGCAGGGAAGACCCTAGAAAAACGTCCAGAGTCAGATCCAAAAAACCAGTCTTACTTTACATATTTCATTCCAGTTTTTATATTTCCTGTTCTTTACATTCTTGTACTTTAAATTCCTACACTGCACTTCATTCATAGTAATTGCTTTTAAAGACAAAATAGAGACAAGATCAAACCATATCAAACAAAGAGAAGTCTTAGTTGTATTAAAGCAAAAGCAGTTACATCGAATGGCCCTATTTGGGTACAAACTCAAGCTCATAAAAATAGGGAATGGAATAAATAACAAGATCATGAAATTTAGTCCAACTATGATCAATGAATTTCTGTTCTTTCTTTATTCTGTCCTCTATTTCTTCTAACATTGGCTGCATGAGTTGATGCGCTCTCACTTAATAAAAGAGCTCTTCAGCCTTTATTTCGAAAGTTGTTTCTCTCAATCCTTGTTTCAATTCATCCATATCCAAATCATTCCAGTATGCAGAATCTTTATTCTTGAAATCATCGAATTCTTCAATAAAGTTTTCTACTTCGTACTGGGCATGAATTCGAAGGAACGAAAGTTGGTCTAAAGATTGTGTGGTGGTCATAGAGGTCCGATGCCAGTGGAGAAGCAATGGAAGTTGGTCCAAAAACATGTGAAGCTCTGCTTGGGCGAGGGGGTTGAGGACGTGACCCGAGTCAGAATATCACAAGCCCATCGAAGGTTCTTAAGAGGGACTTCGTCCTCAAGAACATTGAAGGGCAAGTGGGAGAAAGCCGCGAGCAAAAGTTGAGCTTGCTTCCGCTCAGCCGGAATAGGGGAAGGTGGAGGTTTGTAAGGTGGAAAGACCTTATCCGAGGAGAGGGCAAGCCTCAGTTTCTCTGTCCAGCAAGGACTTGGCGGAAGAGAAGGTGTGGATGCTTCTATCTCAGGAGGTGAAGCAAGGGCAGAAGGAACAAAGGCATTGATATAATCGAGCCAGTCAGAAGAACAAACCTTCACCTTCTGGGCTAAGAATGATGGATTGTTCCCTTGTGCCTCTTCTAGACATCGGGCGACATGCACTGTCTTTGTAGGCATGGAAGATGTATACCATGCCACAAGCAGATTCTCCTCCAAACTGCATCAGTGGTCAATGGGCACGTAAGGATAGACCACCGAGCTTCGCGCATAGGAAGGGAATTCTAAAGGGTCAGTAAACTCAACAAAGTGATGGTTGATTCGCTCCCTTAACTCACAGGCCTCGGGTTTTGACCAGTTTGTCCAGTTAGAAACCCCAGAAGAGGAAGAAGTTGCAGCCTTATCCCATGCAAAGGACTGTGAAGGAAAACTTCCCATGTCCATATTTGCAACTTTCTGAATCAAAGGATTGAGAGCAGTTTGTTCGTAGTCTAAGGATGAGTCAGAAAAGGACCTTCCCATGTCCATATTTGTAAGTTTCTGAATCGAATGATTAAGGGCAATATGTTCGAAGTCCAAGGGTTGGTAATCTGCAAAGGCATCCATGACCTGAATATAGAAGGGTGGGTAAGGGTGGCCAATTAATGCATGAAAGTTCTTTCGAGGAGGAACAGCATCATCATATGACTCTTCATGTGCTCGATCAATGAAGGAGGTAATGGATTCGGCCATAAAAAGTGTACCAGTCTGTTCGAATACTAAGGTGGTGGAGGTGTTCAAAAGATTGAATGGGAGTTTAATGTAGATGATAAATGACAGTTGCATTTCTAGAAACCATGCACGTTCTAAGACGTGGGAAAAAACTTTGATCCACTAATATCACCAAACATTGGGTATATTAGTGTGGGGGGTAATGTTGGCTACATATTTTGTACAAGTTAATTATAATTCGACGCGTGGCGAAATAAAGGTAATATAGGAAGACTATTCAGGTCATCGATCCTGATCGTACACGTGGCAGTTAGTATTGGTTATTAAGAGATCTGAGTAGCAGCGGATCAACAAAGAGATACAAAGTGACGTGGCCTCAACGGTTACTCGCATTTCAGATTCAAATTTAGGAAAGAAGCTTAATTGCAAGTAATGGCGTAATAGAGCTAATATTGGGGCAAAATGATCGATGATCATGGAGGAGCAGTTCGACGGTTGGAAATGCAATTCGATGGTCATCCTGGAGCAATATAAATAGTAGAGAAGGCCCCAGAAAAAGCCCCCCAAACTCAGATCCAAAAAACCAGTCCTTTATACTTATTTTCCTTTCCAGCTTTACATTTACAGTTTTTTTTTACATTTACAGTTCTTTACATTACTGTACTTTAAAATTCTTGCACTGCACTTCGTTTCATAGGAGTAGTTCCAAGTAGAGTTGCTGTAAACCTCTACGAGGTTGAGTTTGGATCATTATAAGTCTTTTCATCTTAATGAAATACTTCGACTATTTTTCAATTCATTGTTATCTGTTTAATTCTCCAAAATCAAGCCACCAGTAAAAGTCCCCTTCATTGAGGCTGAAAGAACTAAAACACAATCGTCTTATAATTGGTTGGCAATTAATTTTCTGTAAGGACTAATTGATCCTTACTGGCACGCTCGCAATTACAACAATAACCTTCGGAAGCCAAAAAGCTAACAGTAGTGTGGTAAAGTCCATGATAGCATTTGGAGGTGTATATGTGTATATTACAGATGCATATATATGCTCTAATACTGTGATGTAATCCTTACAAGCTAACAATAAGGATTCAAATGTAATGCAGTCGAGTAGAGATTGACATGACAGCCGGCATTTTTCCAAAGGAGAACATTCAGTTCTTCTTATCACAAACAAACAGAAAATTATAACATGCTCACCAATTCCATACCAGGATCACTTATGCCTGGTGTTCCTGCATCACTGATTTGGGCCACAATTTCACCCTGTTGCAATCTCTTCAGAACTGCTTGTTCTCTTTGAGACTCATTGAATTTATGATAACTTAGCTGAAAATCTAAAGCTTACCATTAGAATGAATACATAAAAAAAGCAAGAAATCATTGTTGCAATGAATGCACAGAAGCTGCAATAAGAAACTCACAAGAGGAGTTTTGATGTTGTAATGCTGAAGTAACTTCCCCGAATGCCTCGTATCTTCAGAAAGTATCACATCAGCTGATCTTAACACACGCAGAGCTCTGCATCAACGAAATCACGAAACGATTACACAAAAATAACTCTTCTTTAGTTCAAATAAATAAATAAATAGATAAATGAAATTGATTTCTATATCAAGTAGTTACCTTAAAGTGATATCTTCAAGGTTCCCAATTGGAGTTCCTACAAGATACAATCCAGGTATCAAAGGGCTCTGCAAGATTCAACATGCTATATGAGTGTAACATTTGTGTTAAGGCATTGAAGCCATTAAATCCCCTGGAATATAGAATCAGATTCTTCCAATTGTTCAACTTTGTTTGGTTATCAAGAAACCAAAGTAATGTGCAACAACTTAATCATTTTTTCTTTCAAACTTTCCGAGTAAATGGATGATGGAAAGAAAATTTTGAGAACTTACTTGTTTTGAGGAATGTTGCGGGCATAGGTCGGCGGGTTCGGTGGAGTTGGAACAAAAGGAGAGAGCGGTGTTGTTGCATCTAGGGTTAGGAGTGTGAAGAGTGATTGTCGTTGTAGTGGTGGTGGTGGTGGTGGTGATGAACACTTTGCTTGGTCGCATAGACCGCCATGGAAGAACCTTGAAAATAGATACAGATAGTGATGATGATACCGCCATTGATGAATGAAAGCGGCGCATCAACATCGCAGCTCCCCACTCCCCACTGGAAACTTTCCGCAATTAGGTCCCTTTTATTCGTTGTATAAAAAAGTTTTGGATAAATTATAAATACACCGCTGAAGTTTGCTTAAAATACGAATTATTCATGTAATTTGAAAAATTATAAATATTTCTTTGTTAAAATATTTTATTTAACATAATTAATTAAAAAAGAAAAATTTCTAACTGTTCACCTATAATAATAAAATTATCTAAATTATTAATTGAAATAAAATTTTAACATTATTAAAATTGTTAATTAACTTGATAATTTATTAATAAAATGACATATTTGTTATGAAATTAGAAACCTTATGAGACATAATGTAATTTCTAGAGCCATAATTTAATTTATAATTTAAGTAAAGCTCAGGGGATGTGTTTGTAATTTACCCAAAAGTTTTTTTATTTATTTTTGTTGAGAAACTTACCAATAAGTCCCATATATAAAGTTCAAAATCCATATATTCCAAAATAAAATACTTGCACCAATTAGTCATATTTTAATTATTACCAAAAAAATTCTTTTTTTTTTAAAAAAAATTCTATTTTTTTTTTTAAAAAAATTTACAGACGCTGTAACATCTTACTACCGTCGGACTTCCGTCAGACAGTCATCAGAAACTCGCCAAAATATTTAACATCACCGGAAGACATAATGTAATTTCTAGAGCCATAATTTAATTTATAATTTAAGTAAAGCTCAGGGGATGTGTTTGTAATTTACCCAAAAGTTTTTTTATTTATTTTTGTTGAGAAACTTACCAATAAGTCCCATATATAAAGTTCAAAATCCATATATTCCAAAATAAAATACTTGCACCAATTAGTCATATTTTAATTATTACCAAAAAAATTCTTTTTTTTAAAAATAATTATTACCAAAAAAATTCTTTTTTTTTTAAAAAAAATTCTATTTTTTTTTTTAAAAAAATTTACAGACGCTGTAACATCTTACTACCGTCGGACTTCCGTCAGACAGTCATCAGAAACTCGCCAAAATATTTAACATCACCGGAAGGTCGCCGAAGTATCGCTGGAAGTTGTCGAAGATCGCCAGAAGTTCATAGAAGTGTTATAAATGTCAATAAAAGTCGCCAGAATGTCTAAAACATTCGCTAGACGTTAAGAACATTATTGAAGACTGTCTAGAATATTGCTGGAAAAAAAAAAGAATAAATAGAGAAATTAGAGTGAAAAAACATAGCAAAATGTGTTAAATATTGATAAACTAAAAGGAAAAAAAATGTAACGACAAAAAACAGCAACAATATAGCTCCGATTCAGACATCTAATTTAGAGGCTCTAAACGAAGCTCTAAACATGTGGCACCCAACCACGGACGGTGAAGGATAGTTGCACATACAGTGCGTGTGTTTCACGCACTGTGTTAAGAAAAAAAAAATTGAAATCCCGCGCATATGAGGCTTACATCAGTAAAACAGATGTATTACAACTCTATTCTAAATCTATCTCTCCTCCGCCGTCCATCGCCTTCACCGTACGGCGTCTTGTCCCTCATCCACCGTCTAGCGTTCAGTGTCTCCTTCTTCGTCTCTGTCTTGTTCTCTCTTTGAGGCTTCATTCTCTCGCGTTGAAAGCATTTGCAGATCTGTCCACTACCTCTCCTCCACCGACCGCCGTCTTTTCCGTCTCTGATCTTCGTCCCTCTATCGCTGTGAAAGCATTACCAGGTCAGTGATGCTCTACTCTAAACATGTAATCGATCAGTGATGTTGTCCTGTATATACATTTATATATGTAATTTTTTTAATCAGTGATACTGGATTGATATGTATATATATATATATATATACATAAACTGGAATTAGAGCATACTTTGTATAAAACATTTTAGATAAACATTTGAGCATGAATTGGAATTTGGCTCTCAAAATAAATATATACATAAAATGGAATGATGAATTGATAAATTTATAAATGTAGAAGTGAGTGCTGAATCCATTATACTAGAATTGATTTCAATGCACATATATACTAGAACATTCAGAAAAGCTACTACAAAGCATAAATGATGGAATGATGAATGATGAATTTATAAATTTATAGTTAATCATATTGATGAAAATTTTGATATGTTTGATTGTAATTGAATTTAAGTGTTTTGATTGCAGTATAAAATTTGAATGAGTAGAAATGAAGATTCAATCAAATAGTGGTGAGAATCCTTCAGCTTTTGATAGTGAAGAAATTGAGGAACCTAAGAGGGGTATGTATTTTAGCTCAAAGCAAGAAGTGTACACATTTTATGCCAAATATCCCAAACATGTTGGATTTTCTATAGCTTATAAAACACAAGTTTTTGGCGATAATAGGGAATTAACATACTTTGGGATTGAATGTTCTCGATCGGGGAAAAGAATAAAAAAATCAGAAGTGAACCCTCTAAAGCCATCTCTTTCCACAAAAATTGATTGTAAAGCAAGGGTACGAGCGAGCCTACAAAATGATGGGAGATTTATGTTAACAACAGTTAACCTTGACCATAATCATGATTTGATTCCCACCGACTCACGTCATTTTGCAATGAATAAGAAAATTCTTACTCCTGTGAAGAGAAGATTAGAAATTAATGATCAAGCAGGGATTGGGGTGTCTAGAAATTATCACTAAATGGTTGTTAAAGCTGGGGGTTATGAGTCATTAACATTTGATGAACGAGATGCACGAAATTACATTAATAGAGCTAGAAAGTTGGGGCTTGGAGAAGGAGATTCCGATGCACTTCGAAAATATTTTTTGAGAATACATGCACAAAATTCGAGTTTCTATTATATGATTGATGTTGATACTGACTTTCGCATAAGAAACTTGTTTTGGGCGGATGCAATTAGTCGGACAGCTTATAAAGAATTTGGAGATGTTGTTTCATTTGACACAACTTACCTCACTAATAAATATGATATGCCATTTGCTCCGTTTGTAGGAGTTAACCATCATGGACAGTCGATTTTGCTTGGTTTTGGTCTATTATCTAATGAAGACACTGATACATTTGTTTGGCTATTCAAATCATGGTTAAATTGCATGTCAGATCATCCTCCAAAAGCTATAATAATTGATCAGTGCAAAGCTATGCAAAATGCTATAGAAATAGTCTTCCCCAATACTCGACATCGATGGTGTTTATGGTATATCATGAAGAAGATTCCGGAGAAATTGAAAGGCTATTCCCAATATGAATCCATGAAGATGGATTTGCAAAATGCAGTGTATGACACTTTCACAAAAGATGAATTTGTGATGAAATGGAAATAGATGATTGCAGAATTCAATCTTTATGAGAATCAGTGGTTGGGGGTGTTATATGATGAGCGATATCGATGGGTTCCTGTTTATGTCAAAGATATTTTTTGGGCTGGCATGTCAACAACACAACGAAGTGAGAGCATGAATACCTTTTTTGATGGAAATGTCAACCCAAAGACTACATTAAAAGAATTTGTTGAACAATATGACAATGCCTTGAGAAGTAAGGTAGAGAAAGAAAAGAAAGCTGACTTCAAGTCTCGACACAAAGTCTTTGATTGCCTAACTGTGTATGGTTTTGAGAAACAATTTCAGGATGCGTACACGAATGCAAAATTCAAAGAAGTTCAAGCAGAGATGAAGAGACTAGTTTATTGTAAGCCGTTTCTTTTGAAAAATGAGGGTTCAATTTGTACATATTTTGTAAAGGAAGCCGTGGAAGTTTTTGGGAAGATAAAGCATATGGACTTTGTTGTCTATTATAATTCGACAAAATTTGATGTGCATTGTATGTGCCGGTTGTTTGAATTTAAGGGCATCATGTGTGCTCACACACTCGTTGTGCTCATTGCAAGATGCATAAATGAGGTTTCAAATAAATACATTCTACCACGATGGAGAAAAGATTTGAATAGAGGGTACACATGCATAAAAACCACATACACTGGCTTTGGGGATGATTTCAATGCAAAGGTGTATGATAAGATGAACAGAAAATTGATTTACATTGTACAATTTGCTGGAAACTCTGAAGGGAAAATAAAACTTATTGACCGTAGATTGGATGAAATCAAGGCAAAAGTGATGAAAGATGATGAAGGTAGTGGGAGTAATGTAGCACCTTCGACTAGTAATGTACCATCTATTACTAGTAATGTCCTATTTTCCCCGATTGACAGTATTAATAGAAAGGCAATCAGCCATACCAAGTTGCTTAGTCCTTTGGTTGCTCGCCGAAAAGGTCGTCCAGTTACTAAAAGAAAGGTCGCCAAAGTAGATCAAATAGTCAATCGGTTGAAGGCAAGCAAAAGAAAACATAATAAATCAAAGGTAAATTGATTGGTATTCGTACATATCCATCCGTTTTGTATCATTACTCTCTATTCAACTCATATTTTATTGTAATCATGTCATACATTTGAGGCATTCATTAACCTTTACCAATATAGGGTATGAAGGTGCTTAGAGGTGAAGGTGAAGATCAATGTCAATCTCAACCTGAATGTAGTACACGTAGAGAGCTTTATCCTTATATGGTTGGCATGGAAAATAGTATGTGTGTGCCGGTATGTGTACATCATAGGAATTTACATTGAGCAATTTATGTTATTTTGGAATAATGTTTAGTAAACTGTTTTTAACATTTCATTTTAATTGAATAGGGACACATGGTCAATGCTATTGGAGGCACATTTCTCACCCCGGCAAGTGTGGACATTATGAGAAGACAAAGTTTCATGAATGCCCCAACTCAGAGTTATGGAATCGGCACATCACTTACCTCGTCGGACTGTATTGGAGGCACACTGGGATTTATGAGAACTCAATAATCCATGACTGCTACACATCAAATTTATGGAGCCATACCATCTTCATCTGTTGAGTTAAATGTACCAATAGACCGCAATGACCGAGGTAGTAGTTTTCGTTAGTTGGAAACTTGTAATTGTAATGCCTTTTATGTGACTAAACTTGGAGTTTATTTTGTTTTGGATAATTTATTTAATGTATTATTGGATTGTTCAGTTTCT